TATATATATATATATATATATATATATATATATATATATATATATATATATATATATATATATATATATATATATATATATATATATATATATATATATATATATATATATATATATATATATATATATATATATATATATATATATATATATATATATATATATATATATATATATATATATATATATATATATATAGTCTTTCTATGTTTTAAATTCATAAAATAAGTAATGACGACCTAAGAACCACAAATAATTGTTTTATTTAATTGGTCTCTTTTGATATAGCTTTTTCTATATATATCACACTAATTTGTGACTCACCCATTTTTATTTTTTAGAAGGCGTTGGAAAAAACATAAAGGAATTAGAAGAAACCGCATAGACGAAGGAGTTGGAAAGAGCAGAAGAAAGCTAGAAAAAACTGAAAGGAGTAGGATAAAATGAAAGTGTTGAAATATAATATTTATTGTATATAATGAGTTTCATATTTTATTTAAATTTATTACTTCTTTTTCAAAATTTCTATCTTTTTTAATTTTCTTCTATGTGATTATATTTTTATCCCATATCATATTAGTAATATTTATGTGACTCACTTTCACTCTTAACTTTTTACTTCTAAAAATCAATATCAATTATATAATTTCTTATTTCTTAATTTGCATTTCATTAATCCATGTAACAAAAATAAGGGGACAAATAAAGCAATTCCTTTTATTAATGTTAATTGAAAGAAAAAATTGACATAAATCATGTAACGATGTCTCAACTAAACCAAAATAATCCTCTATAACATTTTGTATACCAAAATACTTACAAAAATGATCTAGAATAAACGATTTTAATTTTTCAATAATAATTATTGATTTCACATGATTTTTTTAAGTTTTCAAAAGAATGATTTAGATAAGAAAAAAATATTAACTATATTTATTTTTAAACAAATAATAATTAAATCACTACGTTATTTTAAAAAATCCTCCAAATAAAGGTGTAATACAACTATTATAAGATACAAAAAAAAGTTATTGCATATTTAGGAGTTACATAAATCTTAATGAAAGAAAATAGAGTTCACAACTATATTATTTTGATGATATCAAGTTATGTTGTGTCTTATGTCTTACAAATATAATCTATAGAAAAATAATTATATTTTTATTTAAAAAATAATAGTTAAACCACTAACTATACATTATTATTAAAACCCTTTTGGAATAAAAAGACAATTTACTTTGTATTTGACTCCAAGCTTGTACTCCCTTTGACCTAAAACAGTATCCATTCTTTCTTTATTTGTTCCAAAAAAAATTATATGTACTTCGTATATTTTATTTATAAAAATATTTCTCTTTCATAGTTATCTTTTTTTTCTTATTTGACTTTTAATGATCTTTGATTTAACACTTTGACTGTGGCTATCTTTATTTTTATATAAACTTATATTGAATTTATATTGATGATAAAAGGAAAATTTTAAATAAATTTTGACATCATACCAACCTTTTCTATTTTATTGATATATTTATAATAATATTAATAATAATAATAATAAATGTTGGTACCACTGTTCCATATGTTTCCATAGCGAGTTTTCCAATGTAGCGAGTTTTACGTAATACATTAAGAAAAGAGATACTCCCTCCGTCCTTGAGTATTTGTCTACTTTTGACTTTTTTTGGTCAAAATTGTTAAATTTTGACCTCAAATTAAATAAAAATAATGTTAGATATTGATATAAAAAGAGTTTTCTTAGATTTATTATATCAAATATTTTCAAAATATTATTTTATTTCATTAAAATACGATATATATTTTATTTAATTACTGGTCAAAAGTTGAAAACAGTTAACCGAAAAAAGTCAAAACTGGACAAATACTCAGGGACGGAGGTAGGGGTGGACACGGTACGGTTCCGGTACCGCCACCCCTTGGTACCGGTACCGGACCGGCCGGTACCGGTTCCGGTTCCGGTACCGCCGGTTCCGGTACCGTTTCGGCCACCCCTAATTTTGTTTTTTTTTTTGCTTTTTTATTATATTTTTAAAATGTAAAATTGTAAATGTGTAATTGTTAAAGGAAATGATGAAATAAAAAAATCTAAAAATGAAATTGATAAAGGAAAGAATGAAATAAAAATAAAAAATAAAAAAAACGGTAACGGTACCGGAACCGGAACCGCCGGTGCCGGTACCGAAAAATGGGCACCGGAACCGGTACCGGATTGGGCGGTACCGGTACCGGTTCCAGGAACCGGTGGACCGTACCGGCCGACGGTAACGGTACCGGAACCGGCGGTACCGTACACGGTACCGGTACTGTACCGGTACTGTACCGGTACCGTGTCCACCCCTAGACGGAGGGAGTATGTTTTAAAACTATTTAGTGCAAATTTCACTAATAATAATAGGGTAATTTACCTAAATAGGACTAAAACATGATAACTTTCTCAATATAGGACCATATATTTTTATTTCCCAATGTAGGATCATTGGTTATTATCTATTAGTCATTATTCAACTAAATGTCCAACATCACTTAGGCATTATTTTTCTCACTAGACATTGTTAAGTCTTATTTATGGAATAAAAAAGTTCAAGTCCTACATTGAGAAATGACTTATGTTTTTGTACTATTTAGTTTATTAGTAGACTTTGGGCGATATTGTTGTTTCTATATATAATCTGTTTTGTACTATTGGTTTGAAGTGATAATACATTTTTGCTTTTGGTTTAAAAAAAAACAACAATATAATAATAATGCTAATTAATAGTTTGAAAAATATATTCGTTAAAATCTAAAGAAAGGGAGCACTATCATATAATTATTACTTCTTTCGTCCCTAAAGATGTTTATGTTTCATATTCTGAAACATGACTCTTTTAGGGAGGGGGAGTACATACCCGGCATGCTCATAGCTGGGTCCAAATGCGGAAGTGAAGTAGCCCACAATATCTACACGGGTACATCTCTCCCGGAAGCCCAACGTCAACGTCTCCTTCCACGGCAACCGCGACTCAAACCGTTCCGAATGGGCGCTCGAGTAGCCGAACAGAGCGCCAACCCGCTTCTCCACTTTGAACTTCTCCGCGGCCGGCAGCTTAAAAAAGGCCACGGAGCAATCACGCGCCTCGCGAATGAGCTCAAGGTCAACGCCGTGGTTGACCACCTGGAACAGCCCGTGGCTCCCACAGGCTGCCCGGACGAGCTCATAGGCGGTCTCTGCCTGATCGCCCCCGGCGTTGAAGCTCCCGAGGTCGATTACGGGCTCATTAAGCTCTTCGCGGGCGGGCGCCATGTCTTCTTCCGGCCAGAAGAAGTTTTTGGGGATCTTAAGGTTGTCTTGGTGTTGGGGGAATGTGGAAGCCATGGAGAAAATGAACACAACTGCTCGTCGAGTTGGTGGAGATGGATGCAATGTAATCGCAAATGAATTTGTAAAAACATATATATATAGGCTATTTATACTCTTTTTTTTCTTAATCTCTATTAAATTTATTTCTATTTTTGAAGGACTGGATGGACTCTGCATGAAGACGCGCATGCATTTGCATTCTTTCTATTTTTGAGCTATCATTTATTATTAGTCTCCTTTGAGAAAACAAAAAAAAAATCCAAATATAGTATTCTTTTAAAAGTATTTCCAACAACAGATTTTTATCCGGCGTCCTACTATTGGCTATAATCTCATCAATGAATTTTTCAAATTAAAAACTTTATATTGCCTCTGTTCTAAAATGATTTACCTCTTTAGAATTACATTCACTGGAAAACTTTTGTTTATTTGTACGTTTTTATTAATAATTTGATAAAATGAAATATTCTTGTCACCTCTTATATTGTAGAACTTTTGGTGTGGTTTTTAAATATGTAAATTTTTTTATTTCTCAATCAATTTATAAATAAATTTATTTTAAAAGTCACGAGATTCTACACGTCGTTCCAATAGGAAACTTCTTTCAGAGACGGATGAAGACCGTAATAGTAACAAATACATTCATTTTGGGTCGGATGGAGTATTAAAACTTTCAATTAATAAATACTACTCTCCGTTTCAAAAAACGCACTCTAATTTTTTTGAGCACTCCATAAAACACTTGTATCCAACCTAAAATATCAAAAATACCCCCAAAACAACTTCTACATGCAATAAACTACGTAATGGGGTCTATTTTAGATATTTTAGGTGATAGAAATGTTTGGTATGGTGCACTAAAAATAAGGCGGTAGAATTTTGTGAAACTAGGGGAATAAGATACTCTTTCACCTTTAGATAAACTTTATATTTTTTTATGATATGCATAAATACAATTTAAATTCCCTTCATAAAAATCCTATAAAACAAGAGACTTCTGCACGTGATGGGCCGATACCTGATGGGCGGCCCAAATCTTGTGCCCAAAGGCGTTCGGGTATCCGTAGGTGTGTGGAGTCGACCCTGGGCCGGCCCAAAGCCTTGGTCCTGAACTGACCCAGGCTGGAGCGGCTTGGAAACTCCATCTTTGAGAAAGAGACACGGCTAGGTTGCGAAGAAGGAGCCGAAGGAAGGGGATCGCGCAAATCTCAGGATTAGTTCCCATAAACCGTAAACTACCTTAATTACATAAAGAAGCATGTATAAATAGAGAGGAACCAAACGGAAAACATCAAGCTAAACCTAGCATATAATTTCATAATTCTCGAGTTCTTGTTTCTTGATTATTCTTACGATCTGCCTCTCAATTCGGATTATCTCGTGGATTTATTTTTCATCAAACTGGTGCTTTCACTGAGAGCTCGAAAAATTCACTCAGGAGAAAACCTTCGAAAGAACAATGGTGCAAACTCAAAGTAAAGCTAATCAACCCACCGAAAACCCTCCTCAGGGAGAGATTAGCGCCACCAGAGGTTGTCACCTCCCTATCAGCGTAACGGAGGCTAAAGCCCTCATCCAACGGATCGGGATCACGACTGATCAGTTTAAGGAGGTGGTGGCGGCCCTAACCCAAAATCAACAGGTTGTGGTGGATGACGTCACAGGGGCGCATGTCGGGGGGAAGGTCAGACCTGCATCATCTGAAGGGAGAAAGAAGAAGAAGACAAGGCGTTCTCAAAAGAAGAAGGCGACTAAGCCTAATGGGAAGGTGATAGTAGAGTACGATCTGTAAAGGTTGGACGAGGAAGGCGAGTCGTCTTCATTCGAGTGGGCTTTCGCTTTTGATCAACTAGGGGATCCTAAACAGAAGAAGCCGCGAACCTCCGTGTTTGACTGGCTGCAAGACAATCGATCAGCCCAGAACGGCGACTTAAGAGAGAAACTCAGGGAGTGAAGGGAGGAGTCCACAGTGGCGTCCAAAGCCCATTCGGGGGGAAGGCGGAACGTGATCGTGGACAAGGACTCGGTCGAGCTTTGGAAGACGATCAATCGGCTGGAGAAGCGGTTGGACGCCTAGAATCCCTATTGCCAGGCGGTCTTTGATGAAGTAACCCCATTCTCAAAGAGGGTGATGTTGTGCCCTCTCCCTGAAAATTTGAAGACCCCCTAGATCAAGGGGTATAATGGGATGACCGACTCCTAGAACCACCTGGCACATTTTCAAGCGAATGTGGTAATGTACGTGTACCTAGAGGAGATCCAGTGTCGAAGTTTTTTGGCAACGTTAGAGGGGCAAGCTTGTCAGTGGTTCTATAAGTTGCCCAGGGGGCCGATCGATGGGTGGAAGGACCTGGCCCACAAATTTTTGGAACACTTTGCATCGAGCTGGAGGCAAAAGCTCCCCTACTCTCACCTGCTCAATGTCAAGATCCGGAAGGGGGAGTAGCTTCGGGATTTCATCACCTGATGGGAGAAAGAAGCTAGGGACGTCCAAGGAGCAGACGACCAGGCTCTAATCACCATGCTCCAAGTGGCACTCCCCCCAGGGGATGTGCGCAAGGAGCTGCAATGGAATATGCTTCCTACATACCAGGAGATGTTGGCTAGAGCGAAGTACCTAGCGTCGGAAGAGGAAGATGATGAAGCACCTGCTCATAAGGAGAAGAAGATTGTCCAGCCGGCAAGCGAGGGAAGGGGACCAAACCTTACAGGCTACCAGGCGAGCAGACTGCCAATCCACTCGGTCCAATCTTTACGAGCCCCTCCCCGTAGTCGGGAAAGCTATAGGGTCCAGGACGCTCCTAAATTTTACGAGTACCATCGTAACAACACCCATAAAACGTCGGAGTGCGTTACGCTGAAGAAGGAGATGGACCAATTGATCGCTAGAGGGCCACCACCTCGGGCGGAGAGGCAAGCACCTGGGAACACCGGAGGAGACTTGGAATCTTCCGAGAAAAAGTGGAGGAACATGGTGCATTTTGCCGAGATACAAAGGCCACCCCTGCCCAAGAGGAAGAAGAGGGAACCAATGGTCTTCACTGACAAAGACTATCTTCCGGTGCCTAGCCCCCGTCGAGATGCATTAGTGGTTAGGGTGGAGATTAACAATGTGGTAGTTCATCATACGTTGGTTGATACGGGTAGCTCGGTCAATATCATGTACAGCAACACCTTCAAGAGTTGGGTCTGTCTCGAGCACTCCTCAAACCAATTCGTACTCCATTGTTCGGGTTCACTGGGGATACGATCGAAGCGGAAGGAACAATCACGATGGAGGCTGGGGTAGGAGATGGAACCCACTGACTCTAGCTTGACATGGAATTCATGGTAGTGTAGCTCACCTGCGCACACCATTTGATCCTAGGGCGACCGGGTCTGGAATATCTAGAGTGTGTAATCTCTCCTGCTCATTTGTGCATGATGTTCCCTACCCCTAGGGGGTAGGCATGGTTAAAGGATATCAGAGCTTGTCTAAGTCGTGCTATGTTAGGGGTACAAAGAGCTATACACGGATCAATGTCAGCACGATCTGTGTCGCCATTAAGAGGGAGGAAGGCCGACCTAAGGCAGAGCCGGCAGAAGAAGTTAAGGAAGTTACTCTGGACCCCGCAAACCCGGATGGAAGGTGAAGATTGGCAAGACCCTACAGCAGGAGCAGAAGGGACAGTTGGTGAGCGTCTTGCGATCATTCAAGAAGCTTTTTGTGTGGGGTCCAGAAGACATGCCCTGTGTCGACCCAAGGATCGTCTACCACAGACTGACGATGGACCCGACACATAAGCCGGTCAAGCAGAAGAAGTGTTTCCTTTTTTCAGAAAGGATGGATTTCATGACAAAGGAGGTCAGTACCCTGCAATCCATTAGGCATATCCGGGAGGTTCGATGTCCGGAATGGTTGGCTAATGTAGTCCTCTCACCCAAAGGGAATATCTGGCGGATGTGCGTCGATTACACTGACCTGAACAAAGCCTGCTGAATGGACCCGTTCCCTCTCCCTAATATCGATCGATTGGTGCATGAGAAGGCGGGGTGTGAGTTGATGAGCTTTATGGACGCATTTAGCGGATATCACCAGATAAGGATGTCAGTGGCAAATGAAGAGAAGACTTCGTTTATTACCACAAAATGAGTTTATTATTCCAAGGTGATTCCATTCGAGTTGAAGAATGATGGAGAAACCTATGCACGGATGGTCAACAAGCTGCATGCGCCAGTATTAGGAGATACATGGAGGCGTATGTGGACGATATGATCTGGCATTTCACGCATAGGGCTGGAAAGGGTGTTCAAGATCTTGCAGAAGTACCAACTCTGCCCTAACCCGAAGAAGTGCACCTTCGGCGTACAAGAAGGCAAGTTCGTGGGATACATGGTTAGCTGGAGGGGAATCGAACCCATCCTAGAAAAAGCAAAAGCAATACTGGACATGGAACCTCGGCGAAACGTGAAAGAGGTCTAGCAGCTAACAGGGAGAATCGCCGCTCTCAGTAGATTTCTGTCCAAAATAGATGATCGGGTGGCACCATTCTTCCAAGCCATCAAGAAGAGCAAGGGATTCATCTGGACAGAATAGTGTCAGCGGTCTTTTGAAGGGTTGAAAGCTTACCTCTTCTCACCACTAGTGTTTTCGAAGCCAGAACCGGGGGAGACTTTGTACTTGTATCTGGGAATTTCTCCTTGAGTTGTGAGCTCAGTGCTGGTGAGGGAAGAGGAGGGCATGCAGCAACTTGTGTATCATGTAGCGAGAGTGCTGCGAGGAGCTGAGTTACAGTATTCTAACATGGAGAAGACCATTTCACGGTAGTATGCACGGTAAAGAAGCTCACCTCGTATTTCCAGGCGCACCCAGTATAAGTTTTGTCCCAAAGTCCAATCGGAGCCCTAATAACGCCCTCGTCGCGAGTGAGTAAGTGGGGAGTATTTTTGGGGTCTTTCCAGATAGAATTCAAGCCTCGATCAGCGATCAAAGGGCAGGCATTGGCAGACTTTGTAGTGGAGTGCACCGTGAGGTATAAAAAAGCAAATGAAGAAGAACAAAACGAGAATTGGTGGACCATCTACAATGATGGGTCATCCGCAGCTAATGCTTCGGGGGGTGAAGTTGTGGCAATATCTCCAAAAGGATTCAAGTTTTACTATTCGATAAGGTTCCAGTTTAAGGTGTCAAACAACGAGGCAGAATATGAGGCACTCCTGTGCGGATCAAGACTTGCAGCTTCCCTGAAGGCTGATCAAATTCAAGTCAGGTGCGACTCGAAGTTGGTGGTCGGTCACATCACTGAGCATTTGAAGCAAAAGATCAGCGGATGAAGAAGTACAAGGACACCGCACTGGACTTGCTCAATGCCTTCGGAGCATACCTAGTGGAGCAAGTTCCCCGAGAAGAAAATACTGAGGCGGATATCCTCTCTAAACTCGGCCCGAATTCCCTAGAGCATATCAGGGCAAGGACGCAGGAAGAAGAGTTATCAGAGCCAAACATCAGCCCCGGACAAGTCTTGGTCATAATAGCTAAGGAGCCGGATTGGATTGATGAACTTACCGCATATATACTAGAAGGATCAGCACTGGTGGATTCGGTCGCGGCAAAGGTCGTTAAGCGATGCGCACCTAGCTACGCGCTAGAGTGCAGAAGGCTGTACAAACGATCATACAATGGGACACTACTGAGATGCCTAAGGAGTGAGGAAGCGCATAAGGTTATGGAAGCAATCCATGAAGGGATATGCTCAGCACACAAAGGAGATTTTACGATGTCTAGAAATGTTACATTGCAGGGGTACTTCTGGACAACAATCATTAGAGATTGCGCAAAATATGTTCGCATATATAAAGTGTGTCAGGATCGAAGTAAGGGCCCCGGCTAAAACCTCGTTGCTAAGCTATCGGGTGGAGGTGTTTGATGCAGAAGAGAATGAGAAGAACTTGACAGCCGAACTCCATTTTTTTAGAGGAACAAAGAGAAAAGGCTTATATCCGGGCCGAAAATATATTGTCGTCAAGTCAAGTCATACCATGATCAGAGGGTGCGACCTAGGATATTAAAAAGGGTGATTGGGTTCTTAAGAAGAGAGAGGTTAACAGACTGACCGACGGTGGAAAGTTTGTGAAGAATTTTGAGGGGCCATACATTATAAAGGAAGTATTGGCCGACGGAACCTACAAGTTACAAACCCCGACCAGAGGACATGTCCCGCGAGTGTGGAATAGCGCTAATCTTATTAGATTTTATCAATAAGTCGTAACATTCCTAGGTTCTATCTTTGAATTCAATAAAGTCAGCATTTCGCAACTTGTCGATCATGATTCATAAAAAAACAAATGAGAGCGACCAAGAAGAGTTGCTAGGCAAGGCCATATGGTGTTCGCATTAAGCTACCCTCAAGGGAGTGAAATACAAAACCCATTGGCCGCCCAGACGACCGCCAGATGGCGCAACCGTGGAAAGATAATACGATATCGGGGTGAAAAAATCCCCACAAAAAGGCTAAGTCAAAGAAGCATATGGTTGCTTCATCTAAAGGGTGAAGCGACCTAGCTATTAAGGACCATGCTCGAACGAGACCAAGCTAAGTCCAAGAGATACAGTAAGACTTGTCAAAATTTGATTAGACAGGAAACGCTGAAACACATTCATGAAAATATCCATTATATCAAAACAACTTCGTACATTCGTAAACATATCCATTACATTGAGACATCCACTTACACTCATGAGAACATCCATTACACCAAAGCATACCCATGCGATCATTACTACCAAGAAGAAAGAAAGACACAAAAAAGAGAAAGTGAAGGGTAGTTCTGTAGCCGATGGTTGCATGGAGTGCCCCAACCACCACCACCACAAGTGACAAACACCCACCTTCCTTCTCCCGTGTAGAGAAGGGATGGGGTCGTTTGCACTCTGAGCCCTAATTGCTACCATCCCCCGATGAAGATGAAAATCCTAGAGTAGGAGGGGACTCCCGAGGAAGTGAAGGGCCAGCCCACAGTTGCAAAGAGGAACCCAGTTCTTCCCCCGTAACAGGAGCTTCACCCGGCTCCAGCGAGTTGGTACGGCTCTTGCGGGTCCACTCCTCCAGACCCAAGTAGTACTCTACTTCTTGCTCCAAGAGGGGCAGGTGGTGTTCATATTCCACACTCTTCCAGACCGCGTAATGCCTCTCATGAACGGGGCAAGGAGCATCCCAATTTATCTCCCCAGAAGGGAGAGGCGATTGGCCATGAGTGCCTTGGTTGCCTTGATTGCCCAACATTTGGAGCATAGATATAAACATAAATGCATCTCTTCCCTGCAAAAAAGTTCTAGAGGTATGAAGCATCTTCGATTGAGAAAATCTTTACTCGAAATTGCAGCTATGGATTGCAAATTTTTTCTGCTGATCCCAACAAGGAGGTTTTTATTGCTTTTCCCCAATTTGTTTTCTGATTTTGTTCTTGCTGGCATTATTTTTGCTTTTTTGTTGTTCTTCTTCGTTGAAAACGTTTCTATCCATAGGTAACTTTTTTGTACATTTTTGGTCATGCAAGGGCGGAGGGGGAGGGGCATGCCCGGGCAAGTGCCCCGCCGACGAAATTCCGGAAAAATAGGAAAGGGGTACCCATCGGCAATAGGAGGCCGGATTCGCCCCCCCAGATTGGTTCGGCACTCCGGTAGGCGGCACTGCAGTCTGCGGCAGCAGGTCGAAGAAGAAGCAGGCTGAGAAATCGCTGAAGGAGAAGAAAACGTACGACGTCGTTTTCATAAATGTTTAAAAATATATTTTCGGCTTTGAGCCTTTGACCCATCCGAACACTCTAGAAGCCCAAATGCCCAATTTCCCCAAAAAAATACGGAGTACTTCAATTCTAGGAATTCAGCCGCTCAGCGGCTAATTCCACTCTAGAAATTAAAAAGAAATTTATGCTACTAGGATTAGGGTACCCCAAATTTATACTGACGTAGTTTTAACTCTTTTTTTCTTCAAAATTTATAAATTTCGGTCTCAAATTTAATTGAAGTGATATGGGAAATTGATACAAAAATAATTTTATTGCACTTATTAGATAAAAAAAATTAGAAGCTAAAATACTATGGAAGAGGTAAATTGACGTTTAGCTTTTAATTTTTCACTCTCCGTTGGAGATGCTCTAAGAAAACTATTTTCAATACACTCTCCTTGAGAAAATGAACTCTTATTTAATTTTCCACTAAACTATCTCTTATTATAATTAATCATTAAAAAGGGTTTTAAACTTGTACACCCAGACAAAGTGCCTTACACTCTCACATCAAGAATATTTTTGGAAAGTCAAGATAAAAATATATGTCTCTTAAATTTTTTAAAAGTCAAAATGAGAAAAACTTTATGGGACGGAGGAGGTATATAATTTGGGTGATATATAAAAGCTAAGGAAATACTCTGATCCCTTCATCCCAAAAAGATTGCCAAATTACGCTATATGAAACAAATTTTTGAAATTTTTTTCAAATCATTTTATTTAAAGAGTGGTATAAAAATAAAACTTGTATATTTGAAATTTAAGTCAAAAGTCCTACAAAACAAGAGGTTACAAGAATATTTTATTTTATCAAATAATCAATAAAATGCAAAAATAAACAAAAACTTTCGTGATTTTTGAATAGTGAAGTGTTGTAATATTTTTGGGACGCAGGGAGAATTATTTTAACATATAGAATAAAATAAATAGTTTAGATAGAGTATATAATTACATAATTATATTGGGCTCTTGTGTAATTACCTAGTTACCGTATAAAACCTTCATTATTACTTGAACTTCAATCAAGAAAATTGCAGGTAAAAGTTTGCTGTATGAAGAAGGATGATTACAGTTTCAACGAGATGATGGTGTTATTATGCTCCAAAACCCTATTATGTTCGGGAGTATAAGGACATGTTTGTTTGTGCAAAATCCCAAGGCGTTGCAGAAACATCTTAAATATAATTGCTTATTCACATATTCACATTTTAGGGTTTTATGATACTAGGCCAAAAAACCTAGGTTATTTAGGGTTTTGTCCGGAAAGACAAAAAAAATCAATCATGCGGCAGCCTCCAAAATAGTTCACTCAAATTTTGACTCTTCAAACTATGTTCAATCCAAAATAGTAACAACTCTCGTTTTTTGCGTCTAACAAACAACATAGTTGAGTAGTTATTGTTCAATCAAATTAGGTTTAATATCTCAATTATAAAATACTCAAACAAATATCTACTTCGAATGAACATGATTTTCTTTGATGGAAGTGAGGAAATACAAATATATGCTTGTTTACAATTCCAAATATCATGGGAATTGAAGTGAGCAATTTATTTCGATCGCTACAAAACTAGAAGATGAACAACCAAATTTTAACAGAGTGAGAGTATGTTTTTTTAAACTGTTTTCAATTCAGTTACATTAAATTTAGTAAAAAAATACATCCAAAAATTAACTTTCGTGGGGTTAAAAGAGTTCATAGCTAAGGTAAGATTCCCTTGGTAATTCTTTTGATAAATGAAGTAAATGGTACTCTAGATGTGTTCTACATTAACTTTTTAAGTAAGCACCTCCTCAAAGTTTTGCATTGAAGATGTATGTTTTGACCCTTAATACAAATATTGATTTGACATCTCTAAGGAATAAAAATGTTGGTTCTCGATTATGGGCGAGTTGGATTGCTATCAGAGGTCCCTTCTTGATTTTGATCTTAATGGTTTCTTTAATAAGATACACTACCCCTAAAGCCCATGATGGTTTGGTGAATGCCTTAATTAGTGGAACAATCCAGATTCGAGAGTTTGGGAGAAAATTAAAGTTTGATTTATCCCCACCCCAAAAAGTGGTGTTTGAATGTCTCTAAACCCCTCATGCTCAATATTTCTTGATAGTCATCCCAACTAAAGGATTAGGCCAACACATGTCGAATGTAAAATACTAAAAATCCTTAAGTTCCGGCTAATGATCCTTTATTTTTTGTTGACCCCAAAGTTTGTTTAGATACTTTTGGCGAGAAACACTGTGCATTGCAAAGATTTACATGAGTTTAAATATGGGCGTGATTTGGTCAAGGATGTTCTAGAGTAGGTAGAAATTTTGTCTAAAAGGAGGCTCGAGTAAAGTTTATGATGGATCCGCTTGAAGGTAGGTACTCTATGGCTAACTGATATTCTTCTATTTGGGCGGGCAGGGAGGAACATATATGCTTCTGTAGACCTTATATGAGTGTCCTCTCTTATTACGTTCAGGGATAATGGGTTTGTTTTTGGCCAAATAGTTTTGGAAATAGAATCAATTAAGCAAAGTCGTTGCGCTAAGCACAAGAAAACATGTTTAGGAATTCAACGTGTGTTTATCCCATTTGCTTTTGATACGTTTGATTTCCTAGCCCCAGAGGCCGTAAAATTCCTAACCAGGGTCCAACAGATCATGCATAGTAATTTTTAAACCCTAAAACATAACTTTCTCTTTAGAAGGATCAATTTTGATATCCTAAACGGTCGCCGCCCAACTTATTGCTCGTTGACCATTCACTTTTTTTTTAATTAATTTATGGAGGGCTAAAAGAGTATTACATTAATGATAAACATACATTTATTGTTCTTTCTTGAATTCAATTATGAATTCAAGATGTATCTACTCTGGTTTGTGTATTGTATACTTTGGTTTGGTTCCTTGACCGTTATAATAAGGATTGGGGATTAACTACCTGGAAGGTGTCACCAATGCCGATAACGAGTGCATCAGAGTTAGGCCTCACAAACTTCCATTTGTTGTCGACGAAGACATGAAGGCCTTGAACTTGGTCATCTTGGTGGAGGATGGTGATGGAGTTAGGGTCACAATGGGGGCCGGTTCCCAGGGTCTGATTTGGCTCTTCGCAACGAGGGTAGAAGTTGAACCTCAACGTTGAAAACCCATCCTCAAATTAGTCCTTGTAGTATGAAGGGTTGATCCCTAGACTCCTTCCCAACATCTCGATCATCTCCATCGACAACTTGGTCATGGCCTCACAGTATTTTTGGTACACCAACCTGTCATATGGCTCTTCTCATTTATACGTTCAATTTGAACAT